CACTACTACTACTATTCTGATTTGAATATGAATTTAGTTATCGTAAGTTTGTGCGAATCCTCTGCTCACAACTTTTACACCTAGTTTTCCCTTTAACTTTTCCTTTTAATAAGTCATCACATCTGCCTAACGAAAAACCTCTGTTCTAGTGACTGCGTGCACGAACTAATGGGTCATATGCCGCTTCTGGCGGATCCAAGCTTCGCGCGATTCTCACAGGAATTGGGCTTAGCATCGCTCGGGGCCTCAGACGAGGAGGTGAAACGTCTAGCTGCAGTAAGTTGACGAGCAACCGCTTTAACTTCGCGGCTCTTATAATAACAAGGCACCAAGACACGTGTATAACTCTTATGGATTACAAAGTAATTTTTGCAAGCATCTCTGTACGATGTCGCTCTAAGTCAACCCCTTGGAGAAGGAGAGGGGGATTGGAAAGACAGAAAGGGAGAATGAGACTAAACCTAGTGAATAAGGATTAGAAAGAGAAAAATAACCGGCAAAAGATATTAGAGCAGGAGAAGGACAGATAAAGATGAAAGAATGAAACAGTATACGTATAGCGTAACGCTTCTGGACGATACATATTGCGAACGCTCATTTCTAATGAGTAGGGATTAGCATTTCGATGAGATCTATCAGGTTATTGAATCTTGTAGTGGTAATGATACAAAGGTGCACAATCACTGTTTGAGGACTCTACTAAAAAATATCGGCACTAAAATAACTGTCCTGGAATGTCCCGATGACCTTTGTGGTAGAAAGTTTGACGACGGCGACATCAAAAAGGAGTAAGGAGTGGAAGTAAGAAAAGAATGACTAGGCCAAAAACGCACGCAAGGCATATTGGTATGAAAGTGTGTGAACAATTAGTGAATATTGAATGTGAAACGACAAGCGTAAGCTACAAACGCCCCACCTCGCGCCACGAATTTAATCACACTTGGGTCGATATTACCCGCCCATCTTTACCGCTCGTATGGAATCCACCAATACGAAAAAGCAAGCTGACTGCCCCAATTTTTTTTCACAATTGGGTCAACTCAAATTAAGTAAATCTGTCAAACCTCCTAATAATTAAATCAGCCTAGTAGTCATTCTGGTGGATTCTAGAGTTGCTTAAGAAATCCTGCTTGGGCAGTCAGCTTGCTGTTCCGCATTGGTGGA